TGAACTAAGAGTTTCTTAAAAAATGTTCTTGCTAAGATGTCACAGGAGCTTCAGCTTGAGTGGGTAAATACTTTCACTCTGGCCCTTCTTAGGCTTAGAGATCTTCCAAATAGCTCCTTTTCCATCTTGCCCTTAACTCATGTATCGCCAGCCAGTTTTAATCCCCATCCTTTCACCTAAATCCTCTCCCCTAGCAAATCACCTGCTTACTCCACTGTTATCCCATCTTCGCTCACTATTATGGGATTTTACTGACTACTCTTTTCCTCAACCATCTGCAAATCCATGCCCACCACTGAATAAAATAGACCAGGTACTAACCCCCCCCCCCAGACCAACAGCTCTCACCCCTTTCCCCTAAATGGTAGGACCCCTTTAAAGTAATTCTTGTAACTCGCACAGTTGCCAAGCTCAAGGGACTCTCTCATTGGATCTACCTGTCTCATCTTAAACCTTTTACTCTTAAAGCTCAAGAAAGCTCTTTGTATATGGTAACTCAGCAGGGCCCTGCTCCCTTAAGTACCAGAGAATACCACAATCAGCCACTTTTTCTCCAGTTCCAGAAGAGTAAAAGTCTCATTATCATACTCAACTCTCCTGTACCAAAAACTCCATATACTCTCCTTCTTCCTCTTTCTCCTATCTGCTTTACCAACTTCTCTATATCTCCAATGTCATACTTAAATTTCCAGTTAACCACTCAGTTGTTATTACAGGGAACTGGTGTGGGAGAATTGCCTTTATTCTGTCAATCATGTTTTAAATAAACGCTGATTGGCCAGGCAGGAAGTATAAGTGGGTCTACCAGACAGGAAGTAGAGGCAGGGTGATGTGAACAGGAGAATTCTGGGGAGGAAGCCCATTCCTTCCCCAGCTCTGCCCAGATCACTGAAGAAGCAGGATGTGACCTTCCCAGCTGAAAAAGTTACAGAGCCATGTGGCTAACATAGATAAGAATGGGTTAATATAAGCTACAAGAGCTAGGAAGAAGCCTGAGCTAATGGGCCAGTCAGTTTATAATCTTATGGAGACCCCTGTATGATTTTCTCCGGGACTAAAATGGCTGGGGGATTGGAAAGAACAGAACCCCAGCAAGCCAGTCTGTTAAAGAATGGTACCCAACATGGATAACTGCAACCACAGAAAGCCCGAGAAAGCTTGGGAAAAAAATAGAATAAAGCATGTTTTCTTAGTAGCAGCAATTTCTCGGGTCTGCTCTGCTTGCTAGGGGCAAGCAAGCACTCTCATTTAAGAGAGGCTTCCTCACTCAGCTTTAGCTGCAAAACCGTGCGGCTCTTTGAAAAGGTCCTGCCATGAAACACTTAAACGGTGTTGATGAAAAGCTGATCACATGCTTTTCAGTTTTCAGCCATAGAAGGAAAAAAAGCTATGCCATTTTAAAATGCTGGCTTTCTGGGCCATCTTGCCAGGGCAAACTCTGACTCTTTCAGGCAGGCTGTCTGACTATGAAACATTTGAGTGTGGTTTATGAGTACACTGCTACAGCTTGCTTGCTGGCAGGAACCTTGAACTGCCAGAGTTGTGGCAATAAACATGGTTCCAGCGATACCTCTGCCATGAGGCTAGAAAGCTAAGGAATGGGCTGGATCCAGCCATCAAAGCCATGACTTTAATCCTCTCCTTAAAGACTCATGTAGTCAGAAAAAGAGAGATATACAGTAGGGATTCAAAGATGAAGAAAACCTCTAAATGTTTTACAGTGTGTTAAAATATATGTAGGGTTGAAAAAAACGTTAAAGTCCTTAAAATAAAAAAGAAAGAGAATAGTTGGGTGTGGTGGTACACACCTTTAATCCCAACACTTGGCAGACAGAAGTACACTGACCTCTGTGACTTCAAGGTGTGATAGCATACACCCTTAATCCCAATGCCTGGGTGGTAAGAAACAACGAAGAATTTAAGGACATTCACAGCCCCAGACTCTAAAATCTCACAAAACAGGTTTTAACATAACAGGTGTATCACTGACTGCAACAGTGTCTCCTGGATGTTAAAGTTGATACCATGATGCTAAAGAAAACAAGTGCCTTAAGATTTGCTTCAGGTAAAACATTGAGTGGTCTAGGAATTCTCCTTTCTAATAATTCCCCCTTCTATTCTTTCCTCCTCCCCACCATTTTCTACTCTAATACTATACTATCATAATCTTAAGGTTTTTTTTTTTTCTTTTAATTTTCGAGACAGGGTTTCCCCATAGCTTTTTTGGTTCCGGTCCTGGAACTAGCTCTTGTAGACCAGGCTGGCCTCAAACTCACAGAGATCCGCCTGCCACTGCCTCCTGAGTGCTGGGATTAAAAGCGTGCGCCACCACTGCCTGGCAATCATAAGCTTTTATATGTCTAAAATATATTTCTCTTCAAACATTTTTCATAAATGCCAGGGAACCAATTGGACCTATCTACACGGAGCAGACTCAACAAGAATAAGTATTATTTAATTCTTCCCTTATTAATTCTGTTCTTGGGAACCCCTGGGAAACTCCTTCCTCCACCCCACCCCCTGAAAAAAAACTTCCAACTTGGGACTCTCCTCGCTCAATCACCAGGATCTAATTTTTTTCCAGAAATAACTTTCTGCTTTTCCATAATATTGTGAGGTCCAAGGTGCTAGCTAGCCAGTTCCACAGAGCCTGGAAAAAAACATGAAAGTAATCAGCCACCCCAGGACTAGGTTAAGCACCTCAACTCTCCAATTCCCACAAAATCAGCAAAAGGCAGTCTCAAGAGACCTGACAATGCCCACAAAATCAGCAAGAAGCAGTCACAAGAGACCTGATGACACCCCATTCCCACCTATTAAAGATCCCAAACTCCCCAAATTTTTATAATAAACAAAAGGGTGGAATGTTATGATTTTAGCCAACCAGCATGGTTGGTATTTCTGGATTCCAGTGCCATGCATGTGTGGACAAGCCCTCAGGCAAAAATACCTAGCCACCACGAGGACCTTAAAAGGCCATGTGTGACCCACGTGTGGCATGGTTACATCACCTACATATGACTCAGCTACATAAGCCCTTGCATGCATGCATGAGCTCTGTCACCTGCGTATGACGTAGCTGTCTTCCCCCTGTGCACATGCGTTAGACAGCCTTTCAAAGTTGGACATGCCATCTTCAGCTCTTTCTTTCTGCACATCGACATCACCAGGCCTGTACATATCTCTTCTCATAAACTGTTAAGCAGGTTTGTTGCATGTTTAATGCTTCCTTCTCACTCTTGCCAGGTAATTTCAGATTCCATTATGCCAGTCAACATGCTTAACTCCATATTTTACTACTTATTGAAGTAACTTACAAATAAGTGAGTAGATTATATGTACTAATAATGATTAGCTCCTAGTCACCAAGAATGAATCCAAATTGGATTCTATACTTCACACTTTGTGTCTTTCATCCTGTCTGTCTGCATGACTATGAATCTATGCCTCCTTGAAGGCTGTCTTCCGAATCTGTTTGTTCCTGTCTGTCCTTGTGTTAGTCTGTTAGGTGACTCTGTGTCTTTGAGTGAGTGGTGTCTGTTCCTAGCAGAAAATGTCACTCTATCTTCATTGAAAAGCAGAAAGCAACATATAGGTAAGGAATGAGCTACTTCACAGAAATCTTTAAATTCGACAAGGAACTCTAACTGGCTCCAACTGGTCATAATTGATTCAGATAACAAATACATTGCTTAGCAACTGATATCTGGAAAAGATCCTTTCAACATGTATAGTACACTTTAACAAGTTTTGTTCAACTTCTGTATTTGCTGTTTTCAGCAAATGAAATACATGAACTGTCTGGCTCAGGGGCATGTTAGAATATAATTTAGATTGCAGCTATGTATTAGCTTAGGCAGTAAAAGGAAATCCAAGGAAAATAAATCATCACACAGTTCTCTTAAAATTTCAAGAGCAGAAACATGAAACTAATTTTATGTTGAACATCCCATTTAAAATCTTGGTTTTTAGAAAGGTAATCTTCATTTCCTTCAGGTCTCCTGATACTTTTGTAATTCTCAATTAATGAATATTTTGAAGATCAAAGATCACTATAACATTTGCTTAGACCTGCTAAACATTTGTTTTGAAATATATAAGTTCAGATGCAAACAGAGACTGCTTTTTTGTTTCCTGGCCGCCCACACCCAAATAATCACAAAAAACTATATTAATTAAAACACAGCTTGATCTATTAGCTCAGGCTTTTTATTAACTAACTTTTACATCTTAAATTAACCCATTTTTATTGATCTATGTATCACCACAAGGTTGTGGCCTACTGGTTAATTTTCCAGTGTCTGCCTCCTTCATGACTATCTAGGAATACACCTAAGCTATTAGCAGCAAAACACAGTTGTAATCAATATATATTTGGGTCTGGGCAGCCTCAAAATGAATGAGCAGTCTCTGTTTACATTCAGGTGCAACATAAATGTGTAGTTAAACCATTTCTGTACTAATAATGTTTTTAATTTTTGCCACTGGTTTCTCAAATTTACTAATCCTTTCAAAATCTAAATCCCCATCAATTTCAGGATATTTAGTTTTTTAATCTGTCATAACAGCAAACCCCACCCAGTACTTATATTATTTATAATTGTTTAATAGTTAATAAATTATAATTAATATTGCACCATTATATATGGTGGTTTTAAACAGCTCAAATGAGACTGTGTGTATATATATTCATGTATATTTATATAAATACATATATGTATTTCCCAGCTCCTATAATTCTTGAGTAAATTCAACTCCAATTTTATTTTTCCCAATGTATGCCCCACAGCATCTTAAGTGAAAATATACCCATATGGCCAGTGTGAGTCCTGTTGGGCATTACTATGGATTGTGCTAATATTTTTTTTCACTTAGCTCAATTCTTCAATCATTATTTACTAATTATTTTTAATTATTTTAAAGATTTAAAATAAATTCATGAGTATAGTATTTGACTGCATTTATGTATGTGCACATCATGCATTCTTGGTTCCAAAGGCCAGAAGAAAGCACAGAACCCCTTAGAACTAAAAAATGTTTGTAAAGAGGCATATGGTTGATGGGAACAGAACCCACATCCTCTGAAACAGTGGCAAATGTTCTTAACCTCATCTCCAGTCCCCATTTATTTTTGAGACAGGTTTGCAAGTTCCCCAGGCTAGTCTCCATAACTTGTTGTGGCCAAGTATAACGTTGAATTCCTGACCCTTCTGCATACAACTTCTAAGTGCTCTTGTATGACTTCTTTAGCAAACTTTGCTGCTGCTGCTACTGTAGCCAGTCTCTCGTCATCTCATCCTGGCCTGTTAAAGAAGACAGCAAATGTTTAGATTGACCAAGGTGGATTAGATGCTCCGCCATCATAAAGCAGATGACATTAACGGTTGAGAAAGAGTTAAAGGATGAAGTGGCAGAGGCCACTCTCTTGTTCAGTTTGGCAGCATCTAATTGGGCACTTGGTTTCAGCTTTGAATCACAGCAAAAAAGAACAAAGAACATAAGAAAGGCATGGAAGACTTTGCTCATTGTTTCTCACAGTGGCTTCATTCTCGGGAGATTTATTTTTATAACATCCATTGGCTTATGAGTTGCAAAAGATAAATGCAAGCTAATGGATGTTGCAGGCTAATAGGATTTTCTGCTGTTCATAATCTTCCCAAGGAGAGAAAGCATCCTGGAGACAGCTTGTGTTTCAGGAATCTTAATGTTACTGTTACACACCTTTTCATCCCTTCCACAATCTCTATACTTACAAGTTACAGAAGTAGTAGGAAACTCCTGGCAATTTCTCTTATACCTATTCAGTGTAATTCGCCTTTGTGTTTGAGTCAATAACTGGGAGAACAAAACACCATTTACAAGCCAGTCATATTATACTCTAATCTGTTTCTGTGTGTTTACTTTTTCAATGTGAAAAACACAGAGAAAAAGTGCTATACTTTAATAAGTTTTCTAAGAAGGATGTTAATTCCAGGTAAATTTTTAAAGGTTCAGCCATAGGTGTTACCTAGCAGTTACACAATATAGTCACTTTGGCAACCTATGAAGCCACAGAACAAGGCATATTACATTTGTTTATTAGTCTTCATTTTGGTTCTACCATATAAGTAAATGTCCTATAAATTCTTTTTTAAAAATCATTTTTATATTATTTGAAAGTTCTACATATTGATACATGTTTTAACCATAGCCATCTATTACTACCTCTCCAATTCTCCCCAATCTTTTCTCCCCATCCTCCTCCCATCTTCAAGACTGCTTTTCTGACTTTTGATTTTAATAACCCCAAGTTTTATTAGTGCTGTCCATATGCACGTGCTAACTTGGCAAGCTGACAAACTGCATTATAAATATTTTCTATTCCCATAGACTTATGCTGCTTTCAACTTTGGTCAGAATAGCTTCTTTCTGCATTGCATAACAGTTAGTGTAAAGACCCATAACTGACCTAAGTGCTGATTATAAATACCTCTTGGGTGCTCATCTGAGGATAGGTCACCCATGTTCTAAGAACTCTTGACAAGTGCAAAAATCTCGATTAAAAGGGGAATTCTTGGCTGCCTAACAGTACTGTGAAAATAAAAAAAAAATGTTTCTTGATATTTATATCATAACTTAAAGACCTAAGTATATTTGATTAGTAATATATACATGTTATGGTTACACATATTTTTCTTTTTACGTACATGGGATAGAAAATTGTTATTAAGCAAGAATAAAAGAAAGATACTGAGCTATATAATATGCCTTCTAGGGGTATACTGATTGCCAAAGTAGATACATTTTATAGCTGCTAGGCAACCTTTATAACAGAACCTTACAAACTTCTACCTGGAATGGAACATCTTTTTTTAAAACTCTTACTAAAGTTTAGCACTTTTTTCTCTGTATTTTTCATAATGAAAAAGTAAACAAATAGAAACATGGTAGGGTCTAGGATGATTATTACCAAATTTTATGCTCAAAGTTCCAGAAATTCTATAATCCTGTCTTCTTTCTATCAGACATTTCCTATCATCTTGAAGGAAAACATCTGTATGGAGAAACAGAAATGTGAAATAAGGTAATTTATTACATCCTTTGCTTATTACATCTCTATACTCTTTATACCCAGTACAGAGCACTTTGATAAATCTGAATTTAAGGAACCTAGTCCTCTTGCTAGACTCAACCCCAAATTCTAGGATGTGATTACCTTGAGACCAGCTGTGATGTACAGATGAAAAATGATTTCACCTATGAAAAAAAAAAAAACAAAAGTCATGATAGCGGTGACCTCCTCCAGATCAACGACGGAGCAGGTACTGGGCATCTGAAACCATTAACTCATATCTTTCTGGGTGAGATACTCTCCCTCATCTCCTCCCAACTGTTCCCTCCCCTACTTCATTCCCTTCCCCTTCCCTACACACATATCTCTTTCCCCTCTTCCTCCCAATAACTTCTTTCTCACCCTTTTTCTCTCCCTTATCTACTTCCACTTTTCTCTTCTTCCTGCCATGATCTCCTCCTTCTCTTGTCCCATTCCTCTCCAATATCTCCATTGATATCTTCCAGTTGAAGAATTATGATCTAGGAAATATATCACAATGTTAATAATCATATGTTTATTAAACAGTCAAAAGGTCAGTATCCTATACTTTTTTATGATAAACAAATTTTATAATTAAGAGAAATGGCAAGGTTTCATAGCATGGCATTTATTTGACATTTATTTTAGGGTGCAATAAAAGAACACGAAAAATTATCAAATAATGTAATGAAAGGCAAAGTAGAACACATTAAAATAAAAATATGGTTTCATTAGTTTTCAATTACACAGTATATAATGATGCAACTTTTTAAAATACTATATTAAACACCTTAATCATAAATAATACTTTTTCTCATAGAACAATATGTCACATAAAGAAACTAATTTGGTACTGACAGATATTTTTAAATATATTTTTTCAAGCAATTACATTTCACAATAGAATGTTTCCGATAGTATTATTACTACATTTCTATGGCAAAGTAATGAAGGCACAGCTAGTGCAAGCAGATTTAAGTCCTTAATCTTCTGTGCTGAAAAAAAGAAAGAGAAAATACATATACATTGACATTTAAAGTTTTGCTTTTTCAGGCAAGAATTTGTCTAACAAGTTTGATGATTTGCACAGATACAATCTAATAGGAACATGACAAAACGAGTTCACAAAACCAACACTGTAGCACCAAACAAAACATGCTTTGGAAAATTAACAGTAGTTTACCCATTTTGAAGAATATTACAACAGGCAAGGTAGAATAACAGATGCATAAGACACTATTTTAAGACAGTACCAGGAAAAAGGAAAACACCAGACTATAAGAAGCAATAGTGTTCAGATTATAGGGCAAGTTTTGTCTTTTACAAGGTTAGGTAAATCTGTTTCACTTCTGCTTGCTTGACTTTTTAATGTTCTTGAAAAATCTTTCAGGTTGCCTTTTTCACTTGTAGTACTTCCTGTTTCCATAATCCCTGACATCATGGTAATAGGGATCATTGATTTCTCCTGTGAAATAAAAGATTGATTTCAAGATAACATTATCATGCAAAATTTGACCAATTTCAAAGTCCTCATCAAGTATAGCATCTTCTCTTGGTTCCAGCTTCCCAATCAAAGGAATCTCAGGAGGACTAAAGAAATTGAAGAAGGATGCATTACGAACCACTCTTGGCTGGACTTCAGTTTCTCCAGTGGCAGCTGGGCGACTCCGGGTAGTTTTCACTGTCACATCTTTTCCTAGTCTCCAATCTATTTTGCAGCCTTTGCACTCTTCAATTTCCCATCCCCAAGCAAAGAAAGGGTCATAGTGATCTGGTTTCGACCTTATTATGTATGTTTTCACCAGGAACTCATTTCTGAAGTATGGGTTAGGCAAGAAGTGAAATTCAAAAGTGTAACTTACAGGCTGGCCAGGATTTGAGAACTTCAGGCTAACATCAGATAAGAACTTCAAAATGGGCTCATCATATTTCTGAATCATAGGCCCAAGCTTATCAACATTCTTTAAAACAGTCAGCCAGTAGTCAGGAATGCCTTTAGGATCTTCTCTCTTAGGCTTTCTCTTTCGAGCCCTTTTAACATTACCTCCTTCTTCAGGCCTTGTCTCAGGAACTCTTTTTTGAGCCTCTCTTACTGGAGCCCTTGCTTTAGATTCTTCTGTAGGCTGATCCTTATTTTCTGCATTTGCCTGGGGAACTTCTTTGGGGTCTTCTTTTTCTTCAGGAGTTATCTCTATATAATCTGTAGAGTCTGCCTTTTCTTCAAACTTTACCTCAGGAATTTCTTCAGAGGCTTCCTTTTCTTCAAACTTTACCTCAGGAATTTCTTCAGAGGCTTCCTTTTCTTCAAACTTTACCTCAGGAATTTCTTCAGAGGCTTCCTTTTCTTGAATTTCTTCAGGTACTTCTTTTGGAATTTCTTTTTCTTCGGTTTTCACCTCAGGAATTTCTTCAGGAGATTTGTTTTCTTCAACTTTTGCCACAGGAACCTCTTTTGGAACATCCTTTTCTTCTTCCTTTACTTCAGTTTTTTCTTTACAGCTTTCTTCTTCTTCCTCACCCTCTAAGGGTGGCATTTCATTAGGTGTGTCATCCTGCATTTCCTCATCGCCACTGAACTCTTCGTCTGAATTCCACTCACATTCTTCTTCTGTAGGCTCATATTCTGCATTTATGATCTGAAAACGCTTATCATAAAGAGGCTTATTGAGCTCAGCATATTTTCTTTCAAGATCATGAATTGCCCTTAAAAACAAGGTGTCTACCTTGTCACACTCATCCTGAATATTTCGGAGTGCCTGCACCCGATTTCTCACTGCCTGAGGCAGCTTATCCATAAAATATTTCCCAGAGGGATGCCGCTGGGCCCTTCTGGAAGGCTCAGGTACCCTCTTCTTTCGGTATACTTGACTGCCACTGCTGCTGCTGCTGCTACTGCTACTGCTGCCGCTGCTGCTGCTGCTGCTGCTGCTGCTGCTGCTGTTGCTGCTGCTGCTGCTGCTGCAACTAGAGGTACTGCTAGAGCTATTGCTGTCAGATTCTTCCCCAGAATCACTAGCTGAGCTAGCCATCACCTCTTCAGCAACCCCATGGGCGGCAGGTTCTGTGATCATTTTAGGATCCGCTTCTGCCATGCTGCTAGTCCCGCACACCTCTTTAAAGTGGTGACAACAGAGATCGCACACCCAGAGATGGGCAGAAATGACTCACGGACGCTCTGAAGGCGGCTGCGAAGGCCCGGGCGGTGGCGGCGGCGGCGGCGGCGGCGGTGGCGGCGGCGGCGGCGGCGGCGGTGGCGGCGGCGGCGGCGGCGGCGGCTGCGGCGGCTACGGAGACAAGCGACAGGCTACCGGCAGCGACAAGGACTGCAGTGACAGCGCCGGTGGCGCGGCCGGGGCGGGGCCACGGAGGCGGCACGCAGGAAGCCGCGGCAGCGGAAGCCGGTCGGGAACCTTGGCGACAAGGACTGTTCAGCCGCAATAAACCGGGGCCCAGACGTGCTGCAGTCAAATGGCGCAGTAGCGAACGCAGAATGGGCTTCTGGGTTAGGATGGAGAGCCCCTCCCTTTGCTGACACCCCTCCCGTTAATTTCGTTCCCCGGATGTCTGTAGTCGCTCCTCATTTGCTGAACAGATTTGAATGACTAGTGTTACGGCCAACGAATGGCCTAAGGCCACAGCTCTTTCTCCTGGCTCCTCCCACCTTCCCAGATACTCCTTGGTGGCTAAGGAACAATCCCCCCCCACCCCCACCCCCCGACCGGGTCTCTCCTAACAAAATTCTCTCCTTATGTGGTTTTTAATTCAAAGGGAGAGAGAAAAAAAAATTAAAAAAAAGTCGTAGACATGAGGTAAAAATTCCAGCGATAGTTCCTAGCAACGGAAAAAAAACGAACCCCTTTGGCTCAGCAGCCCAGAATTCCTGTTGGACAAGGCCTCCACACCGCGAACCGTTAATGTTAAAAAAAAAAAAAAAAAACCTCTAAGTGGCGTCATTGCATAGTGTGACTGGATGATTGGGGGGAGGGACACGCAAACAAATATTCTATGAGCATGTGTTTAAACACTGGAAAAGGGGGGAGTCGTTTATTGGCAGAGGGGGGAGGGGCCAGACAGCAGGCATATTGCGTTCCACGTAGCAGATTTAATAAGTGCTGTCTGTGATGTTTGGCAAGCCTGGTTTATCTGGTTTATATCCATCTACAAGGTTTGCGAACCCATGTTGCCGTGAGTCAGTCACACCATTTTTTTAAAATCGTATTTCTGTTTTAAAGCTGGCATTTATTACTAAATTGCCACGTAGTCCTTTCCAATGCTTGCCGTAAAAAATTAGATAAAACAAAGGGGGTTAAAATGTAAGGTGGTATTTTTTTTTTTTAAAGCAGAGGATTTGTTTCAGACTTTTGTGCAGCAGGTTTCAATTCCACGAACAGCAGGATGGGAGGTGGGGGTTGTTATAACGTAAGTGCATCATCTGTAAGCGTTTAAGAAGTCATCTGGCACCAATTTCCTTCTAATTTGGAATTGTATCCATATTAAAAGGATGATTTACAAGTCCAGCAATATGTAAAGAAACTTTTGCTAAATGAAGTTTAAAAACAGATATTTGCTATTTTTATTTACAGGATTCAGTTCTGCTACAACCAAAAAGACCAGTGTTCACTTTCCGTTGAAAGGTAAGGACGTATTAGCACCCTTTTTTATGAATGATCAGAATTGCACATCTTAAATAAAATTTCACAGAGCTGGCTTGGCATATGTATAAGAAAATAACCTACTTAACAAAATGTGCTCTCCAAACTTGATGGTAGTCTATAAGTGTTATGTTAAAATAAAAAAATATACTCCATTATTATTTTCAAATGGTGACAAGTTTTTGTGCCGTACTTTTCATTACAGAGTTTGTGTTTTTCATTTAGTCACTTATTTTTAAGTTAAGAAATTGGTTTGAAAATAAACTTTTATTTATCTGTAGCTGTCAAATTATATGTGCATTTTAAAGATTAATATTCAGTATAGAATATTCTGATGATAGTGAACCTTTAATTATAACAACCAAATGATAACCATTTTAATATGTTGATGCATTTCCTTCCAGAAGTTTTCTTATGCTTGTATACACTAGTTTCTTTATGTATATTCTTTTATCTGTGTGACATCATATGATGGTTAGTAATTTGCTGATTTATGGCTATATTTTCATAGGAAATAATCAATTCTTTATTTTTAAATAGATCTATATTTCACTATAATTGTCTTGAACTATTTAATCAGAGTCATTTTGTGGGTACAATATATGTATATATCCTGAGTATCTGTAGTATGAATTAGTATATACTTCAGAACATTAACATAGTATGTATTCCTAGATATTGGAATATGAACTAATTCTTATGGTTATTTAATCATTTTGTACCAGTTGCAAATGTCCATGAAGATTATTAAAATATAAAAGGTATTAGAGTTCCTCCATTTTAGTATTCAAACAATTATGCCTGTGTCTTTCCTGTGACAGGTATATTAGTAATGAATGCTTATCTTTTACTTTTTGCTTTGTAATTTTATTGATAACACACACTATGTAAATAATAATTCAATGCAATGGCCTGCATGATAAATATTGTACTTCCATTTATCTGTAGTTACAGTAATAGACATTTCTAAAATAAAGATACTTATATTTTAATATTTTATAGTAATTTAATAGTGTAATTTACATGTTAACTTCTGTACCATCAGAGATTAATATTTCTGAGTCAGTTTTGAGTTAAGATCTAGATTGGTTTATTTTCCTGAAGTGGGTCTGGAATACGAGAATCACACATGCTAGGGCACTTTATCACTGACTTGTAAATATAACCAAAGATATTTAAATTTTTATATTGGTAGCTACCTATTACTTTTTGAAATACTTATTTAGTAATCTTTTCATCTGTACCTATTGAATGTGTTTATGTACCATGTAAGCTGAGTCAATTGGATCAATTTCTACATTCTGCTCTTTTTTTATTGAACACAATTTTCAGAAAATAATGCAAGAGGGCAAATTTTTGTTGTTGTTTTTATCTCGTCACACTATGAATCCCATGATGGCCTCAAATTTTCTGTGTATCCCAGATTTGTTTCAATACTATGGGACTTTTAAGGTCAATTTGTATTTTTTGAAATTACATGTTGATTGAAATAATTTGGTATATTAAATACAAATAATAAATCAGATGTAACTCGATATTTCCAGAGATTACTACTATTCTCATTCAAGTAATATTTTTGTAATGATTTTTCAAAGCTATAAACATCATTTCTTAGATTAGTAGTAAGATTGAATATCTTTTCATAGTTTATTTTCCATTTAGCAATAATTTATTATCTGCTTCTTCCCAACTGAGTTAAAAAAGAATTAATCCATGTTGAACCTAAAAGGTAAAGTGACTTGGGCATTGAACTAATGAAACCATGAATATTTTAGAAAATATCATTGCTATAAATGCCATATAAATCTCTTTTATAGGGTTAAGTATAAAGTATATATTTAGAAGATTTTTATAATTTTAAATTATGAATTCCTTTTCACATACATATTTTGTAAATTCTTTGATGGGAAAGAAACATATAAAAAGTCATACAAAATAATATTTATGAATTTTATGATTTTATGATTTTTTTCTATAATCTTTGAGTTTTGAAATTAGATGACAGTTTCTAATCATAGTACTCTTTCATGTACTTTCTTCCTTAGGTATTATATAACATTTTGATGTATTATTTATTTGATATAATTAAATTCATACACACATTTCTTCATGTAATTCATGTAAGCAGTTTAAGTACACTATATATTTTCTACTATATATACATGCTTTAGTTCCAAAACATTATGTGCCTAATTTTCATCAGAAGATAATGTATAAACTGCTTACACAATGAGTGCTCTGTCTGTTCTTTTATCTTGTTATTGTTTATCTAATACTAAATTACAGTCTTTAGAGTAGATAATGTTTATCACAGAAATTGTTAGTTACACAGGTTGTACATAACTCTTTGAGAACTGTTTATAACTTTCCTGATAAGAATATATGCATAGACCCTTGTATTGTTATCTCTCTCTCTCTCTCTCTCTCTCTCTCTCTCTCTCTCTCTCTCTCTCTCTCTCTCTCTCTCTGACACACACACACACACACAAACACACACACACAATGGCAAGTGTGTCAGTGTTTGTTCAATTACAAATATCTATAAGACAATGCATAGGCAGATTATTACTTTTAAGCTTTTAAATTAAAATTGTGTAAATTGTATGTGTGTGAATGTGTACACATGTGTGTATTAGTGTGTGTGTGTGTGTGTGTGTGTGTGTGTGTGTGTGTGTACTACCTGAAAGTGCATATGGAAGTTAGAAGACAAATTTGAGGAGTTGGTTCTCTCATTCTTTCATGTGTCCAGGTTAGCATGACAAACATTTTTACACACTGAGCCTTGCTACAGAGACCAGTTCATTTTTTTTTTTATTGTTGTGTCATTTTGGGATGAAAAATCATCCTGACAGTGTTACCTGACTAAACTAGTATCCCATTCCCTATTTCAAAAAACTATTAAAATACAATGTACACAACAAACTTTAATAAATCTATATACAATTGACATCATCTCTGACACTCAGATAGTAGATTTTTTTTTGTTATACTAAAATTTTTCTCACACATGTACATATCTATGATTCCTCCCTCTGTTGTTTTATAACAATTAATATATTTTAGGGTCCTATACACTAATTTTCATTTTTTTGCTATTGTAAATCAACATTATCATTGAAAATTCATCTCTTTTTGCCTTTATTTATTCTCTAGTACAAATATTTCAAAATGTATCCACTTTGTATGTATCAAGAGTGTTTTTTCTATTTTTTACTGAGTAGTGATATATTTTGTGTAAGAACACTAATTTATTCTTATTCATCTGTGTAAGTTTAAGTGTGTGAATAAAGTTGCTATGATTCCTTTGTGAACAAGTATCTATATGAACAAGGATATATATTTTTGTTTCTTTTAGAAAATATTCCTAGGATTGGAATGGCTGGATCAAATGGTAGGTATATTTTTGCCTTCATAAAAAATCTATTTCTCATATAGGTTATTTTCAACTCTACCAACAGTAAAAATATTTTCTATGTTCAGGGTTTTTAAATATAACATCTTGATAGGTATGTGGTATCATAGTCTTGTGGTTCTTATTTGCATTTGCTAATGACTACTGATGTTGGGCATCTTTTCATATGCTGATTTGCCAATTACATATGTTCTGAGAAGTGTGTACTCATATTTTCCCTATTTAAAAATAAGTGTTACTTACATTGCTAGTATTCTTTGAGTGATCTTCTATAATGTCTACGTGAGTCCTTCATCAACTAAAAGGTTAGCAAATACAGTGTGAACTTATTTTATCTTTTCTCAACATTGCCTTTAATAGTTTTCAGAAAGGAGAAGCTCTTTTTACAATTAAAATGAAGTCCAAGTAATATTTCTTCCAAATACCATGTGTCATCCAAAGTCACAGATACTATTCTTTATCATTTTTTCTATAAATTTAATGCTTTTAAGCTTGATACTAAGGCTGATGTTTTGATGTGTGACAAAAATATATGGATTGAAATCATTTTAATATTTTTCATAAAGATATACATAACTGGTTCAATTTCAGGAAACTTTCCTTTCTCCATTTATATGAATGTGCACAATTGTCAAACATTATTTGTCTGAATATATGTGCTTCTATGATGAACCATTGTGTTATGCTTTCTACTGGTTTTAATCCCCCAATTGATAGGCATACATTTATTAGATACATTCAGGAGAGAATAAGAGCCAGTGTGGGATAACAGAATTTCATTACAATGGAGAGAATTAAACTGCAAAATTTCATAATTGGCCTTTCATTTATTCTTCACATGTTTAAGAGACAGAAACAGACAGCAATATCATAAACCTAGAGAACAAATAAACATAAAAGACAAGTTGGTTTATGGAGTTGCCAGTGTATACATATATACAGCATAACTATAGAAATAGTATTTTGCGGTTTTCAGCAGTGTAAATAATATCTTTGCTTTCTTAATCCAGAGGCCTTTGTTTACTACAATTGAAATACAAATAAATTTAAGATAATATAATCTATGATTGAAAACTAATAGTAAAATTATAGTTTGCCATTTCACAAAATAATTTTCATTATAATATTGTACTTCATTCTTATTTCTTTATAAAGTATACAAATGAAGTGAATGTGGTGTATAGACAGGTTTTGATATATCAATATCAAGATCATTGATATAATGATAATTTAAAAGAATTTTAAAGTACAATTATATATATATATGTAGCAGGTAAGATGATACATATGTATGTATATATTTTTACATATGCATTTTACACTAGCTAGATCATAAACTGCTAGATCATCTGTTCACATTTCTGGGCCGGGTTTCTGTGTATGTTTCTATTAACTTCACTAAACATAATGTCCTACATGCTCATCTTTGTTGTCACAAATTACAAGATTTCTATTGTTTTTTTAATGCTAAATAGACTTAACTTTTTATGCATTCCAAATTTTTTTTCCTCCAGTTTATGGTCACTTGGATTAATATTCTACCTTGCCTATTTCAAATAATGATATAGTGAATACAGACACTAGCTGTTTTCCTAACATACCGATTTCATTTCTTGAACATACTCATTTCTGTAATGGCTTATTAATTTACTCACTTTAACAGTGTTAAAGGTTACCCTTTGTTCTCCATCCACTGGCAGTGGCACAAGGATTTATCTCTATTGCTTGTCCTGGATTTTTTGGAAGCTACATTCTTGGCATGGATACCTTGCTCAGCCTAGATATAGTAGGGAGAACCTTGGACCTTCCATTGGACAATGTGTATTATCCTCTTGAGGACTGGGTGGGGGTGGGGTGGCAGTGTATTTGAAGGGAATAGGAGGAGGGGAGGGAGTGAGAACTTCGATCGGTATGTATAATGAAAAAAAATATAGTTTGTTTTCTTGTTAAAAAATAAATGTGATAATAAAAATAATGTAAAATCATAAAAGGGATACATTTACAGTGATATCCAAAGATTTCTTTCTTAGAACACCCATCTAAAATATTTTACTATAATTCCAATAAAGTATATATTTTAAAGTATAAGTTTATTTGTCTTTTACATAATTTATTGAAGGCAGAGGAAAATGTCAAATAACTTAAGCAGTGTACAGTATTAATATGTATTTAACCTCAGTAACATATTCAAAAATTTATACTTTATTTGGATATAAGGAACATAATATATTGATATTATCTGTCAACTTCAAGGCAGAATAAAAGAAACACTTTAGCCGGGCAGTGGTGGTGCACGCCTTTAATCCCAGCACTCGGGAGGCAGAGGCAGGTGGATCTCTGTGAGTTCGAGACCAGCCTGGTCTACAGAGCTAGTTCCAGGACAGGCTCCAAAGCCATAGGGAAACCATGTCTCGAAAAACCAAAAAAAAAAAAAAAAAGAAACACTTAATTTCATTATATGACTATGTTAAGGGAAAAATAGTCTCATGGTTGTGCAGATAGCCTTGCAGATTGAAATAAATTCATATTCATTTACTGTTCAAAATTGTTCATTTTCATATATATACACAGAGAGAGAGAGAGAGAACACAGTCTTATCTTTGAGTTAAAATGGAGAGATTTGTAATAATAATAATAATAATAATAATAATAATAATAATAATAATATTTTCTTTTCTTAAAGTCATTTTTCATAGGTAGACTCTGAAGTCAATTAAATCCCAGACTTTGCTTCTGTTCTCTTTCGTTACTAACTCTTCTAGATACTGGGCAGTTCAGTTCACTTTACTGCATCTGTTCTTAATCTTTAAAAGAGGACTACCTATGGATCATTACATAGAGATTGAATAGTCTTTGCTGCTTTGTATTTTGTTATCATGAATTTGTAGACAGAACCTTTCTTGTTATGATTTCAAGCACCGCTATCAATTTCTTCTGTATATGTTCTAATTGTTGTTTTAGACATAATCCACCTTTCAAACTGTAATTTGCCTGAGGGTCAAAACACAATGTATGTTGGGTAACCTCTTGTTATTTATAACATTATTTGATCCAGATAGTTATAAGGTCATTAAACAGTTAGCCTGTCTAATATTTACCTGTAGAATCTCCTCTTTCATTTCAACACCTACCTCAAATCACATGTTCAATGAAATATCTAATGATGAAGATATGGTTTAGAGTTTAAGTGCACTGACTGTTCTAGAGGAGCCAAGGTTGATTCCCAGCACCACATAAATGCTCTCAACGGTCTGCAACAGCAGTCCTCGGGGCTGTGTTCTCTTCTAATCTCCACAGACACCAAGCACACATATGGTGTACAGACATACATGGAAGCAAAAAACCCCATACACATGCAAATAAAATAATAATAAAATATTCATTTAATTTTGAACATTATAATCTGTCCCCATTCATCATGAAGAATTTCCGGCTCCTAAGCTACACATTTTGTCTTATCTAAGACAAATTTACTTTATCTCATGGCTCTGTATATTTTTATTCCATTATAAATATGTAACATCAAGTTTATTTGCAATTACATATAAATTACAATAGCACTAAAATTGTGAAACAATAGCTTCTGTTCTTGATATTTGTTTATTTAGTTATTTAATTTTCTAAAGGTTTATTTATTTATTTATTATGTGTGCTATGTTCTGCCTGCATGTATCTTTGCAGGTCAGAAAAGGGCACCAGATCTCATTATAGATGGTTGCAAGCAACTATGTGTTTGCTGGGAATTGAACTCAGGACCTCTGGAAGAGCAGGCACAGTTCTTAAGCCCTGAATCATCTCTCTATCACCCTGTTCTTGATATTCATAACCTCTCTTTTAAAATTTGTCTGTATGCTATGTGCTCTGTTTGCCTTTTTCTCTCTCTTTTTTTCTTCCTTCCTTCCTTCCTTCCTTCCTTCCTTCCTTCCTTCCTTCCTTCCTTCCTTCCTTCCTTCCTTCCTTCCTTCCTTCCTTCCTTTCTGTCTCTCTCTCTCCTTTTTTCCGTCCTCCCTCCCTCCCTCTCTCTGTCTCTCTCTCTGTCTCTGTCTCTCTCTCTTTTCAACAAGGTGTCTAAAAGAGTTGCAGGACAGCCAAAGCTGTCTATATAGCTCTGGCTGTCCTGAAACTCTCTACATAGGCCAAGCTGGCCTCAACCTTAAAGAGATTCACCTCCCTTTGGCTCCCAAGTGTTGGGATTAAAGGCATGTGCTACCACATCCAGCAGTGTAAAATTCAATGAAGTGTGTGTGTGTGTTTGTGTGTGTGTGTGTGTGTGAAGTAAGCTTAAATTTTCAGCCAATATATTTGTTTTCATTTATTTTTCTGTTAATAACTTCTCAGTTAATTAGTTCTCAGTTGTTCTCCTTGGAAGTGAAAAGTATTTGAGAGGTAAAGAATTGAATGTTATATTTACTAGATATACTTTTAATGTACATTATAGGTGTTTCTGGGTATTCGTCACTACAAAATTTGAGGGTTACTGTACTTATGTTTGTTATTATGTATACAATAGATAAGTGTTATTAGGATTTTTGTTTAGAAGTAGATCACAGAATAAATACCACTTTCATGTGCTCTAATAGTGAATACTTATCCTCAGCATTATGTAGAAAATGGTCATAGCTGTGAATGAACAATAATATGCAACTTAATCATTTTTACTGTAGTGTTTGATTGAATGTATTTCTTGAACTGTAACATTTTAGTTAACACAATAAGCAGTTCCTTTATATTCTAACTTCTCAAAGTCATACATTTTTATTATTAAAAGAACCTAGATATAAAAACAGACAATCTGACATTATATGTTTTATTAGAGCATTACATTTAATGAACAAAAATGTACTTCTAGAACTACAACTAAAATTTAGGTTAGTCATGGCGACTCTTGTATTTCATTCTTACCTTTTATATTCTTATAGAATCATCAGCTTTAGGAATCCCAGTCCTCAAGTTTCTCTGATTTACACAAAAGTTTTATA